GCGCGGGGAGGGCGGCGGGATTGGGGGAGGCCGGTCGTCACACGCGGGGCTGTCACGCACCGCCCGCCGCCGCCTTTCGGGTCTCTCCGCCCCGCCGTCAATTGTCAGTGCTCCCCAACCGCAATCAATCAGTTATTTGTCAGCCCCTGTCAATCCGCCCTTGATTTATGTCAGCTTTTGTTGCTGATTACAAGCCTGGTGTGACTTGAAGGGGGAAGGAGAGAGAGGGAGGAAGGCAAACAGAGGGAGAGACGGGCTCCTTAGGAGAAAAAGCCATTCAATTTACGGAATAAATGCTTCGAGTAAACTCGATTTGTGCGCCAGCACCCGGCAGCCCTCCCCGGCCCTGTGCGGACGCAGGGCAGCGCGGCGCGGGGCCGGGGAAGGCTGTCGGGCTTTTCTTCCCCTTCCTTCCGCGTCCCCTTCGAAAAAGAGCCCTTCGTCCCTGCACCCGCCGGTCTGGCCCGGTCGCCGGCACCGGGGGCCTGGGGAGGCGGCCCCTCGCCTTAGCGAGAATATCGGTTCACCGTTTGTGTTTGATTTCAGCTGGGCTGTGCTGAGAACCTCGTGGGTATGCACACGGTATCCACCCGGGCGGTATATACATCCTGCTTTGTGTCTGTGCGCTCCCGAAGCGTACCGAGTCCTGTGCCCTGAACCGCGGTTTTACCGTGTCGGCGGATGCCCCGAGCGGAGTCCGCAGCGCTTCTGCCTCTCCCTGGATTGCCTTTTTCTTTTCTCTTTGTACTGCGCATCCCACTATCCCCCCACCTCCTCATCCCATAACATTTTTTCACAGGCAAAATGTGTTAATCAATCTTTTACTTTTGTTTCCGGATCTGACATGGTGGCCCACACAGTCTACAACATTAACAAAAAGGTCACTTAGAGATAAAACACGTTTGACAAGTGAAGAACAAGGCAAGTGCTTTAGGGGTCGCGTCCAATTCCTGACCTGGACTCCGACCAGAACAGGCGCTGATCCTGGAAGGGGTGGGCGAGAGGAAGGACTTTCACTTTCTCGCGTTTGTATCTGCTGAACCAAGTCCTTTTTCCTCCCTTGAAACACCGATCTCCCCCAGTCCCTAAACAGATGCGTCAGATAGCCTTTAATGATCTGCTCTTCTTACGAGGTAGACATAAGGCAGGTTTTCCTAGATATCTCCCTCCGCGCCGTAAAGCTGTAGCCTTTAAATCCTGCAGCCAAGTAAGTGTATCTGCTGTCTTTTATTAAAACCACTTTACTCTTTTAATATAGTGTATGGAGTAGGGTAAATATGCGGAACTCCTCTACCTTCTGTAAAGATACAATTAATTTTAACAAACTTTTTAATTTCTGTATTTTCTCTGAAAGTAGGGCTTATTGCCACAACTTCTCAGTGGAAAGTCATAAACGTACTTTCATTTTGCAGTCACCACGGTCATCTTACAAGACCGTGAAAATTAAAAGAGGGTGGGGGGTGTAGAGAAAGAAATCTTGCATAAAAACCGATATTGCAATAGGACTGGCAAGACCTACAACTTGCCCTCAAGGAACTCCCCCCCTTCCTTTATATAGAGTGGAAGTGACTTGAATCTGCCCCAGGTTTTCCCCCAGTTCTTTCTTTTGTTGTCAAGTCCAATTGATAAATGGAGTGCAGTAAAACTCTGGAAGAAAAAAAAAAAAAAAAAAAGCTGAAACCTTCATTTGTGTTCATTTGCATTAAAGTGCTTGGAACAGCTGTTTTCCTTACAGGACCGGGGAGACTCCTATCTGTTTTCTCGTTGTATTTATCCTGCCTCCCAGGGTGAAAGACTAAAGATTAATTGTCTTAAGGTAGAGTCAGCTGTGGGAAGGCTCTCCCCTCCCCATTTTCCCTTCCCTCTCTCTTTGCTTGTGGAGGTGAGGATGATTTCGGGAAGGAGTTGGTTTACTTGTAAGCCAGAGAAGCAAAGGCGATACCCGGTACATGTGTAAAACAGGCAGCGCACCGACGGGAAAAGCGCGGGGAAGGAGAGGGGGAACAGCACGAACCCCGATCTTTCTGGCTGAAGTAGAAGCATCAGAGGGTAATTTAATTAGTAACTTCAGAGGACAGCTTTTTCTTTTCTTTTATTTTCTTTTTTTTTTTTTTTTTCCGCTCAGCCTTTGAAATGAGATTTAAATCACACTCAGTACTGTAAACTTTTTATGTAGAAGCTTGTAAAAAAATCAGCCCCAAGACATCCCCCCCCCCCTTCCCCCTCCAAAGAATTTCTGAGCTATGAGAGTTTATTCACTGTGCTTAACACAGGCAGAAAACGATTCCCAGCGAGGGTCTCCGAGTCAGGATGCACACGCGTAGGATCGGGCGGGCAGCGGGGCTGCAGCTTGAAAGCGGTGCGTAGTTTTTGTTTTGGCTGCTGCGGGCTCCTTTCCTCTCTTAAGCTGAAGAAGAGGGATTCCGTCCTGCTCGTTACCTTCGCGAGTGATCCTTGTTTAATGAGTCCGTGGAGACGGTTTGCTGTTTGGCATTTACTT